GTGTGAGAGTGAAAGTGAGTGTGAGAGTGAATGTGAGTGTGAGAGTGAAAGTGAGTGTGAGAGTTAGAGTGAAAGTGAGTGTGAGAGTGAGTGTGAGTGGTGTTACATCTCGTGGTGTCTCCTCCAGGCTCTGGAGACTGTGCTGGGAGACACAAACTGTCTTGTAACCACACGTATGGATGTGTCCTCCTGGAGGAGCTGGACTACCTGTGCAACCTGACGGTGCTGCAGGTAGCGCCTCATGCTACCAGTAGTGACGAGGACTAGAGCAGAACGCAGAACTAGAATGAGTCATGAAGGACTAGGAGAGAGCAGCTGATTCACAGCCACTTGTTCTTCTAAATGGACAGATTGTCTCCCAATGAAGTTCTTACCCTGGTAACATCCACCCACCCAACCACCTGCCCCCTTGACCCCATCCCTTTTCACATTCTCCAGTCTATTGCTCCCGACCTTCTTCCTTTTTGTCACCCATCTCATAAACACTTCCCTGTCAACTGGCTGTTTCCATAACTCTGTTAAGGAGGTAAGAGTAAACCCTCTACTGAAGAACCCCCCCCCCCCCAAACCATCTGAGGTAATCAATCACAGACCTGTCTCTTTTCTTCCCTTTCTTTCCTAAATCAACTCTCCTTCGATCTTCACCAGAACAACCTATTTGATCCTCACCAGTCTGGTTTCAAGGCAGGACACTCAACTGAGACTGTCCTCCTTGCTGTCTCTGAGCAACTTCACACTGCTAGAGCAGCCTCTCTCTCCTCTGTCCTCATCCTTCTAGACCTTTCTGCTGCATTTGACACAGTAAACCACCACCTGAAAATTAACCTTGACAAGACCGAACTACTTTTCCTCCGAGGGAAAGTCTCTCCCACCCATGACCTGACTATTACCTTTGACAACTTTGTGGTAACCACTACCCAGACTGCTAGGAACCTGGGTGTGACACTCGACAGGCAACTCTCCCTTACTGCCAACACTGCTGCAACAACCCACTTGTGTAGATACATTCTGCACAACATCAGGAGAATACGTGCCCTTCTCACTCAGAAGGTGGCACAGTTTCTGGTTCAGGCCAGAGGTGGCAAAAGTACCCACATTCTTTACTTAAGTAAAAGTACAGATACTTGTGTACTGCTGATTCAACCTTTACACAATCAAAAGTAAAAAAGTATGGTCTCTGAAATGTACTTTAGTACCAAAGTAAACTGAACTGAACAGAGGTCCTGCATGAGCACAATGTGCTGGCCTTGATTAAGTCCCTGCCCCTTATACACACCACCCGTCGCTACTACTAATAGGATGGTTTAGTGAGGTCCTTGGATCAGCATCACCAGGGTTGGTCACAGCCCTGAACACCAAGAGGACGATCAAACTTGACTTTCTAGAGGAAGTAAAAGTTGTAAAACGTATTCCATAGGGGAAGCTGCGGAAGGGTCAGTATCGGTAGAGCCGCTTGACCTTGGTCGTCCAGGGCAGCCTGACCAACCTCCAGCCGCTTAGGATCTTGCGCTGACCCCCCAACGGCACACATGCCGCCGGGCAATGTAATGTAATGATATCTGAAGTTTAACTTTAGACTGTGAACATTAAACTTCTCATCAATTCTTGAGTAGTGTATGAACACATTTTATTTGCAGCTGCACAGAAACTAAAATAGAAAATAAATGTATTTTGAAACAAATGAATCATAGGATTCTTTTTCTGTGAATCTGGATAAAACTGAGAAAAGGATAACAATGACAAGCAGCTGACATGTCTCCATCATCACCCATGTACTGAGTCTTACCTACAGGAGACACGTCCACTTCGTCCAATCCAGTCCACACGAGCTGTGAACACACACACACAAACATGCTGAGACAAACGCCTTGAAACCGAAACATCAAACTGACAAAAACTATAAAAGGTCATATGACTCAACCAAGAAGCTTTCACTTCAAACTTCATGACATCTGATGGTCTTTATATACAGTCACTGATCATCTTTATATAAAGTCAGTGATCATCTTTATATACAGTCACTGATCATCTTTATATACAGTCACTGAGGGTCTTTATACAGTCAGTGATCATCTTTATACAGTCACTGATCAGCTTTATATACAGTCACTGATCAGCTCTATATACAGTCAGTGATCGTCTTTATATACAGTCAGTGATCA